TTCTCTTTGTCATTTTGTATACCACTGTCTTCTGACCTTTGGTGAAGAGCTTGGATAGAGTTATTACCTTAGCACCAGGTCCAGATCTATGAAGTTCAGATTCCTCCAGGTGGGTGTTGTTTGGATCTGGCTGCTGTGCTCTACTTCTTTCTGCTGCAGGCATTAGAGTTGAACCCTTTGTGTCACTCTGGCAAGATGTTCTGCTCCTGAATCACCTGGGTGGGTCTTCCCTCTAGCCTCTTTGCAGGGAGTTCTGCTGAAGGGTTCTGTGCTGGGCCTGCAGCCTGGGTCGAGTGAGGAACCATGGGCCCTGGGTCGTCTCACTCATTCTCTGGGCCTGCGCTGCTGGTCTATTCAGGATCCCGCTGGGCCCAGGGTCATCTCACTCACTCACTGGGCCTGTGCTCTGGGTCTGTTCAGGATCCCCCAGCCCCGGTGGTCTCACTCACTCGCCAGGCCTGCACTCTGAGTCTCAAAGTGGAGGCTTTTAAACAATTGCAAAACTTCTCTGTTCTAACACCATACCCTAGTTATCCCAGGAAATAGGATATACTTTGCCATATTCATGTAGTACTTTCTCATGGGTTATATAATAGAAAGTAGTAGCATTTATTTATTTAAACTCCACTTCATTCCAAAAAGGATTTGAAGCAGCTACATGAAAAGAAAAAAAAAATTGCCTACCTGTGATTTCAAATGTGCAGTCATTCCCTTCAATTTCATCTGATTTAGTCACCACCATTCCTGCTATTGGTATTTTTCCCTACCAGAAAAAAAGAACATTCCCATTAACTTTGTGGTTATATCTACATAGTTATCTTAGCTTTTCTGACTTTCTCAGGTATCACTGTTAAATAATGGTTAGATATATCTCTCTAGTCTGTCAATAGATAATGTTTCCCTATTCTAAATGTTAATCATACAAGAAAACAGGAGGAAATGCAGGTTGTCTCTGCCTAACACATTCTAAAACATAAGCTCAGGATTTATAAAAATGGTTTATTTTTCTAACATATTTTCACATGAATCAATAAACAAAATAAAGGGTCAAATTTTGTGAAAATTTGATAGCCAGGACGGTATACCAGGCAGTGGTGACTTATATTCTGTATCTTGGGAACAGACTGAAGAAAGGTTAATTTCCTAAGGCATTTAATGACTTGTATCTTAGAAACCTGAAACATGTGATTGTAATAAGACAATCATGGAAGCGGATGCCAGCTTTGCATTTTCTTAGTAATAATGATACAGTGCTGCTGCTGATTTATCCAGTCCTAGACTTAAACTTCTACTTATATATTCAAAACCTTGCTTATGACCAGAACAGTGGATATGCAGGACAAACTCATTATTTAACACAAAGGTCTCTGATCTGAGGAACATCTGTTCTTATAAGCTGTTTAATTACAAAGAAGGGTTAAAATATGTGCCTTTGCTGGAGTGAGTTTTAGTGCTGTGCTAAAGATATTTTGTCTGTACTGAAGCCTGCTTTTCAGTCTTGCTACTTGTTTCATATGAAATCAACTAACCTGATAGATGAAGCCACTCATCCGCGGACTTGCAGATAACATTATCAAGGCATTTGAAAACAACATAAGGTACCGTTCCTCTTTTTCCTGGAGTAGAATGAGAAACAGTAAATGAACACTATTTTTGTTAAATGAATTTCTGGAATCACTGCTTTATAACGCACGTCTTACAGGACCAACTGAGACATTATTGGTAATTTTTTAAAGCTATCCAACTTAGAACTAAAAACTAGTTAAATTTTACTTTGACATAAACATAAACCCACAGTATTTTTCTCTTTCCTATACATGACAGTTAAACACAAACAGCCAGACTTGTTTGTGAAGTATGTAAGATAAGCAGTCACACAATTTATGCAACCAGCGTGCTGTGCTCATCCTGGGCATAAAATAAATCTCTAGGTTCGCAAAACAGGAATATAAATTTACTTAAAAAGTGGCAAAATGAAGCAGTTTTCAAATGGTTGGAAATTTATTATGCTCTAATGTGTATGTTAAATTTTTATTCATAAAATTATTTTTTAATTATTAAGAATAAGAATTATTATATGCATGTAAAACAAAGAAGTAAATAGATTTTAATATTTTCTGTGACAATAGAATATTATGTCATTTGCAATATAATGGATGGAACTTGAGACCATAATGCTAAGTGAAATACAACAGACACAAGACATTAAATATTGTCCTGTTTCTCCTACATGAGAAACCTAAAAAAAAAAAAAAGACTTTTCAGTGAGGAGAAGGGATCAGGAGGAGGGGGAAGGAAAGAGGGCACAGGGTGGGGATAAGGGAATCGAATGATCAAGATCATCTACATACCACTTCTTCGATACGAATGTAACTATTATGTACTATAAATACACATAAATTTAAAACTGTGAGATTGTGTATGTGTTTGTGTGGACGTGCGTGTGGCACTGGGAGTCAGAAGAAGGACCTTGAGCACACTAAGCACACACTCTTCAGTCAAGCTGTAACCCCAGCCTAGCCTCACGGCTATTTTGCTTGGCGCATGACAACTGCACCTATCTAAAGGGCACGAGGCAATACTTCAGTCCATGTATGTATTGCATAACGATCCCATCCACATGATGAGAACATCCACCAGCTCAAGCCTCATCATTTGTCGATGGCGAGCACATGCAAACCCTTCTGGCCTTTGGAGTCACTACGTCCTTTGGAGGGAACTTGAACACACAAAAGCTGCTCTGGAGCCCTTAGACATGCAGTTAGATGCAAAACTTCACTTGGCTTCCATGCTCAGACCCCCACTCCTGTCCCCGCTCCTTCCTCTCATCTGAGAGAAATAACTGTTCTGACAAGTGCTCAGCCATCTGGAATCTTTCCCTTGTCTAGTTTTCTTCCACAGCCATCTCCCCTCCTTCCGTCAGCAGTCCCCTGTGTCTTACCAGCGTTTCCACTTGTGCCTGTAACATGTGCACAATGTTACAGGCCCAAATGGAAATGTCTCCTGTCCTAAAATGCCTTGCTTGCCCCATGTGGTTCCTTATAGGCAATATCGTGTTTGGTGGCACTTTATTGCAAATTAGTCACTGCCTTCATTGTCTCTCCAGTGATCTTCCCCTAACTGCACACCCCACCACTCTCCCAGTCATCAATAACTGCCTTCTAGCAACAGTCAATGGCTTCTTCTTGGTATTCATGCTCTTTGACCTACGAACCTTCTGTGGCACTCAGCTTGCTGACCACTGTCAAGTGCTCCCCCAGGAATTTCCAGGATACCAGAATCCCTCTATTCTTTTCTACCATCCTATTTGTCTTTTTCCCCCCTCTGGCCTGATTCTTCTCCTTTCACCCAAGGGGCTTATCTTAAAGATGGGAATGAGTAATAGGCTCACTGCATTAACATTCTCCAGGATATATGGCTTCCTAATGAGATTTCTTATTAACCCAAAGTAATGAATCTCTGCCAGGGGCATGTCAGGGACCATAGGAAGATGGTTTGGGAGAGGGGGACAATGGTTACACCCAATAAATCATACCAGGGGATATAATCGACCTTTCTCCCTTATCCTGGCCCCTTCTCCAGCCCCCCTGCTTTTCTTTGGCTATTTCCTTCCTAGAGTGGCACATTTGTCAGGGACCTTTAAATATCTGCCTCTCGCTTACATTTTTCCACACCACTTTCACAGTGATGGAGAGGACATTTCCACCTGGCTATTTACAGTTCCTTGAAAGTTAGCAGATTGAAAATGGCATGTGTCACCTCCTGGAGCCCACAGGCCACTCCTTCCTGTTGCATTTCACGTCTAGATATGTGCCAGCAATGCCCTCTGTGCTCCATTCCCTCCATCTGCCCCATGCCCAGCTTATTTCTAACAGTTGCCCTTTGTGCTTCTCCTCTCCTTGTGACGCATATGGTTGTCAGATTGTGTCATGTTCTCCACTGCTTGTGGCTCTTTTGCTGTTCTCCATCATCTGCTGTGTCCAGTCTGAACACATATAGTCTCACGTGTACCTAAGGTTCCTCCCAACTCAAATCAACCTTTTCTTTCACTATGCCCAAAACACTTCCTCTGATCCCAAAAGTCTGGTTTCTTTACTGTCCTACAGGGGGAAAAAATCCACATTCTTATTCTCCTAAGTGAAATGTTGTCTACCTCTTCTTTCCCTTTAGTTTCTCTGGCCCTCCTCTTCCTTTTCAATTCTATCACCATAAAGCCTTCCTGGGCTCTCCCTTCTCTGTCTTTCTACAGATACAGTTGAGGCTGTACAACCTAACATCGAGTTGAGTTGTTTTCCATGTGAGACTTGGGTTTAATCTATTTGTAATGAGTTCTCTGACAGTGGGGATTGTGGCCTATTCTTTCCCTGTCTCCCACAGCACCTACCCTGAAAAGGTGTTCAGTTTCTGGCTTGAATGTTCAAGCACTTGACCTTGATGAATAGACAAATCAAGGAAGAGAAAGCTGTGAAAGGTAGAAGAGCCAGTGTTGATTTGAAATGCCTTACCTCACACGCTCCGTACTGCAACATAACTTGTGACATAAAGATCACATTTCCGAAAGTCTTAATATCCTCCCCTTCCCAGGCCTGAATAGGTTCAGAAAGGATCTGCAACTCCAGCTGTTTTCTCTTTCTCAGATCTTGGCACTGCCCCTATAGAACCCAAGGGAACATAATGAAATAGGAATGTTTATGAAACAAACCTGAGATGGTTAGGAGACTTAAAACAAGATCAAAGTAAGATATACTTTTAACTCTCGCATTCCCACTGAGATTCCCTATTGCTCATCCTGAATCTCATGACCAGGCCCTATCCTCATAGACAAAAAGATCTACTACTCCCCATTTCTAGCTCTGCACCCTTAAAAGTTGTATAAGAAAGGGTTTTTTTTTTTCATTGTACCAAAGTATCAAGATAAAAGGACAGGAAGAGTTTATTTCTCCCTGCCTGTAAGAAATCTTGGAGGATGAGGAGCTCAAGCACCTCACACGGAGCCAGGGGCATAACTAGTACTCGGATTTGCTGGCTGGTTTCCCTGCACTAGCTCCTCTCCACCTTGTCTATCTTTGGGTAAACAGAGGTTTACTTGCAAAATAATTTCGTTTTTCCAACACAGGCTCATCTTCCAATAAAGTAAGCACCATAACAACTATAAAACCCAAAAAGGGTTTTAAAAAAACCCTATAAGAATTATGAAAAATAGACTGACAAAAATATAGAAATTCTTCCTTTATGCCACAGTGAATCAAACTGAGTTTCTAATGAAACATGCGCTACCCTTTATTCTATTTCGGGAGTAATGATTGAATGCTATAAAATACCAAATTAATTTTTCTTCCTAAAATGATGAGAAAAAAGAAATAAAGCTGAATTATGATGCTACACTGAAAATTCAAACCAAGACATAATTTAGTTTGCCAATACTATGTGGGGTGGGAACACTATATATAATTTAAGTCTTTGCTTCAGAAAGTGTGAAGTTTTCTTAGAGTAATTTCACAGCATTCATTTCAAATTGAATACAAAAATAAGCATATGGCTAGTTGTGTTACTGTTTCCAAATGAATGTAATGTCATAGTGTTTTGGAAGTGGTTTTACTATGAAATCTCTCCTGCTTCACTCAGCTAAATGGAGGCTCGGATAAATAAATTCATTATATAGATATTTTATGCACCAATACATGGGAATAAATATACTTCAGTCATCAAAGCAAGTTTTGCAACATGATCAGAAACAGCTTTTTAAAGAGGAATTTTCAATCTTATTTACATAGAAAAAATGAAAGAGACACAAATCATAATGAATGCCATGGTTTTTAGAGGATGCTTCTATTAGATTGTACCATCTAAATCTGCCAGTATTTGCCTGTTTGGGCTTACAACAGCAATCATGTTAACTTGACACCTTACTCTGGTCTTCAACTTGCTGTTTAATCATAGACACATCAGTTGCTGATCTCTCAACAGTACTAAAAATGAGGAGATAGTGGATACTCCATCACAAGCTTACAGCAGCGATCAATAGCTAAGCACTGATCCAAGTCACTGAGGATGCTAATGTCACAGCAATGCTAAAAGTGGAGCTAAACTTAATCCACCAACCCAAAATAAAGTTTTATCTCCTTCTAAAATGGTATCAAGTGGTTTTACACCAGTGTGTTCAGGAAGACCTATTAACCATGGTACTCGAGATGTAAGATTACAGATACCTTTGGTAGCAATCTATATAAAGCAGTTGTATTTTGATTGTCATTTTTTTTTCCTTTTGTGAAGGAGTTTTTTCATACGCAAAGAAAAAACTCACATCTTGCGACATAAATAGTTGAATCCAGTATTGATGCCAATCAGTAAGTGACGAATTACACAGACACAGGGTGAGCAAAAGGGGTAAAGACAAAGAGACAAAAGGAAACCCCCCACCTACACATCAATGCTTAATGTGGCCGAGACTTCAAATGTAATTGTTTTATACCCTCAGCCTGGCAACCTTTCGTAGGTAAGCATGATTTTTGGAGGACATAACTAAATGAAGCAATCACAGCAATGCTGTCCTGTCAGGAAAGCTTGTTTCCATCCTAAAGACCTTTGCATAAAGAAAGGCGCACAACACACACATCACTCTTTCATGAACAAAATGCCACACAAAGTGGAGAATGATAGTTTTATAACATCACGTACCATGAGAGATTTGAATGCTACGATTGCTTTCAGAATATCCTGATGATCTGGATGAGTCTCCTGTCAAAGAAATACATTTGAAAACAACATTAAAGGAGAAAGGATCATCGGTTTCCAGGGGGTAGGGGTGAGAGGAACATGTGGCCACAAAAAGATAGCAAGAGAAAATTTGGGGCACAATGGAATTGTTTTGTATCTCAGTTGTGGTAATAATATGAAATTATGCCTGGGTTCAAATTTACAGAACTGTCAACTGAAAGAAATTTCTTAGTAACTTAATAATTAGAGGTGCTGAGATTCCAAATGTCAGTCTATTTTTTAATCTGTAAATTGTCAATTAATTGACCTTTAAGACAGATGGCAGGGCTGGTGAGATGGCTCAGTGGTCTTAAGCACCTACTTAGAACAAGCTTAGCAAAGCACAGGGACCACGGTTCAATCCCCCAGCACCACATGCCAGCCATCCCCGCCCCCTGGTGGGCGGAGCTGGCCACACACACACAAAAATAAATAAATAAAATAAATTAATAAAAAAAAGATGCAAACATTAAAAAAAAGAAAAAAGACAGATGGCAGCAGCACTATAGGTGTGGTTGGTGAGATAAGAGTTCTCATTTCCATTTTTCATTTGGTTTTTAATAATAGCTATTCAATAGTAAATATAGTCATTAAATAACTCTTGGGGGGGACATCATTAGGATTTCAGAGTGCATAGGGGTATCTCCTTGGGGATATATGAAACTCAGCTGGAGAAGTGAGAAAACTAATCTCCCACCCAGTCAGTCTGGCATAAGCAAGTATACAACTGAGCAGAAGAGTCTGTCCCAAGCACAGAATGGTTCTGCCAATGCAAAGTAAGTTAGCATTCCTTTACAGTCAAATTTATAGCAACCCAAATCAGCTGACACCTGAGAGTTTCAACTGCTAATATACCACTATCAGCAATCATGCCACAAGACTGGAAATCTGGATAAATTCTCTTAGCCAGTTGTGAACTAGCATGAGGTGGGTGGATTATCTGATGTTGGGAATGGAAGACAACCAAAGACAGTGTGACCCAGCGGAGGCAGGGCTGGAAACAAAGCTCCACTACGAGGAAGGCTGAGACAGAGGATGGAGGCGTGCAGAGCATCTACTGTCTGGGTTTTTTTTTTTTTTCCTCAGATTGAATACTTGTACTTAAGCACTGAGAAGTAACAGAAACTGAGGATATTAGTTTCTGGATTTTTGTGATAAACAAGGAGGGGCAAACCTCAAACGGTTCAGCAACCTGGTTGAGCTTCTGGAAAGGCATCCAAAGGTCAACACCTTCTAGAGCTCTAACTGAAATCTCATTCCGCCAGGCTTTGCTCACCCGCTCCCCACTGCCTCCAGCTCTCAGGTAGCTTAGATACCCTGAGAATGTGGTTTTGCTCAGAATGCATGCTTTTCGATCCTTACAAATGCTGACAAGCCTGGCAGCATGCAACCTTTCTCTTTAAAGATAATCAACCCTTTTAAAACCTCAAAACCTTTCCCCAGACACAGGAAGAGCAACTAGGGTGAATGTCGTCTCCCCAGCGGGCCCTCCTCTCGCACCCACACCTCCATAGCCCACGCAAAATAGCACAAGATGGCTCAAGGAGCCTTTCCTGTTCACTGGTTTTTAATCACAAGAGGATTTGGGTCTCAATGAAAAAAATTCAATTATCAGGCCTCATTGCAAATCTTAATATTTTGGAAAGATTATAGCACCACTACAACTGTTACAAATAAGCCTTAAGTTTATAAACAAAATGTGATGGGACAGTGATATGTAGAGAGATACAATGAAATCTGATCCATTTATTAATCTTTAAGGAATACCAAAATCTTCCAGGAACACAGCATCAGAAAGTCAAGCAATCACAATGCTCTCGAGGTAAATATTAGTGTGCACAGGAACACGTTCTTCATATTTTTCACATCAGTTTGCTTTATCTTTCACAATAAAATTAGTTAATATATCAGAACAGCAGAGGTTTATAAAGGCCTGGTTTTGACTAAACCATCGTCTTGTGTCAGCTAGAGGAGAGTGCAAAAGAAAAGTCAAGTCAATCAGCAAACACAGACTTGAGGGGAGCAACAAGACTGAGGCTCGGAACAGAAGAGGGGAAATGCTGAGTGATCGTGAATATTTTATAGGAAAGAAGAGAGATCTTGTTTTGTAGCATAAAGAAACGAGAAGCTTGGGAAGAGAGAGAGTCAGATCGAGTGCATTTTGAAGACAAGACATTTTCTGGATCCTTAGCAAGGCTTGCTCGGAGGCAGATTGGCTTCTCCCCTAGAGCAGAGGCCCAGACTCAGTAGGGGAGTTTGGAAACTTTGCCTTCTCTTACCTCCATATGCCGTTCCAGCTCTTGCAAGAGAGTAACATACTTTTCTAGTCGCATGAATGGTTTGCTGAGACTTGTGGTTAAAATGAGGATACCTGGGCTGGATGCACCTTGATTTTCCATAAACTGTTCCAGATCATCACTAGCAAAAGAGTTTGTGGTTTTGTTAGTGCTGGATACACCATTTAAAGAATCATTGACCTAATATTATGTTATCATATCATTTATAATGTAAAACCAAATAAAAATCTGATTAACTGTTGCAAATGCTATTTAATTTATGACAACTCAATTCAACTACCTTTATTCAGCACTCCTTGAGCATCAACCCTGCACCCAACATTCCTGATCCCTGTGATCATTTATTCATTTGACACTGAGCGATTAAGCATGTATTGACAGGCTCTGTTCTCTGATGGAGATACAGCAGCGAACAAAAGAAAAATATTACCTTAAGGATCCTGTACCCAGAAGGATGGTGTGTATGGTCTAGCAGATGACATAACTTACTGTTTAAAAAAAGTCTCTTTTCTTAGTGCTGTCCCTGAGCACTCACTTGTACTTATCAGCAAGTCATTCCTTCACGTAGCATCAGGTTTGCAAGCCTCACCACAAAGTCACTTGGCCTAAGATCTCAATTCAATGCTGCAGGCTACATAAATATTTCAGGAAGGCAACAACTTAGGAAAGATCCTAATAGTTTGTGAACTATGTCCTATAATGTCTAATCCTCAGCTACTGTTTTCTTTGCCCTTTTAGTACATTTAGAGATTGTCTTTTCTCCATCAACAGTGCTGTTGAGTTCTCAAGGTCATTTTAACATTCATTTAAGTAAACTATAATTTGAGAAAGAAGCCTAGTATCTAACTGACAACATATTTTGAAACTTTCATTTGCTTCCTTGGCCCCTTGACCTTCTTGGTTACTCATGCATATCCGGCCAGTCTCAGGTTTCCTCTGATCTGTTCATTCCTCTCCACTCTTCTGCCCCCACCCAAGTTCAGGCCTTCAGCACATCCCATCAGGCTCACGTCAATAGGCCAACTGGTTTACCAACTTTCAGACTGTCTTGCCTGCGAACTGGCATGTAACTGGCATGTGAACCACTCTAGTTCAATCCCTTTCTTACTAAAACCTTTGAATGCTTCCAAAATCTTAACTTTTTAGACTCCTACGGACCTCACCACCCTTACTCCCCACTCCCCAGCAGGAAAACCCTAGTAAACAGTGGTCTTCTTATTCTTCAAAGAGTGCACTTTGTGCAGTGGTTCCCAGCTATGCTGTGTTGCTATAGGCTATGGAATGTGTCCAAAGTAACTTGTTATTAGTAATCAAGTTCTGGAGGGTGGCAAAGAGAGTGGGGTGCAGGTGATCTGTTTTAGTAATAAATACTCACTGTCCTTGGGCTACTGTGAGTAGTGGGAGAAAAAGACGGGGTTTCAACTAATACCCTACCAGCCTTGAGTCATGTGGCCACATATGTACATAACAGGAAGGAAGGGGCCAGGAATGGCTGTCTTAAGGGAACCAGCCCTGCTGCATATTTACCAGGTTTCACAGCTCTGTTCCAGAAGCAGCAGAGCAGAAGGAAGTGCCCTGGACTTGGAGATATAAAACAGAATGGGTAACCTTGAACGAATTACCTGAACTTTAAAGTCAAAGAGACAAATCTTACTTTCTAATAAAATCATGCAGATTAAATTAGCAGGATTTGTACGGTTACTAGTTTTGCTAGGATCCATTTTACAGATGAGAAATGTGAGGTTCAGGAAGGCCAAGTAATAGGTAGGAAGTGGCTCAGGTAGGGGTCAGACCAGGTTTGAAGCCAAAGTTTCAGAATTTTCAATGAGACACTACCCTGGCTCTCCACAGGAAAAGAATATATAAACTTTAAAGGAGTCAGTAAACTTTTATGTAAACTTTAAATACATCATCATGAGACAAGACAAATACCTTGCTAGAATCTCATCTTTTAAAAACTACCAGTACGCATGATTTCCAACTTAATGGAAATTCAATTGATGCTTAATTTCCAGTTATGAGCATAAAATGCATAAATTGTTTGAAAAATTCATCACATATAAAATGCAATTAGGAAAGTAACTTGGCTTTGGAGTGTGCATTTGCGTAGAAATGTTGCTGGGAGAAAGATCACTTTCTTAATTTCTTTTCACTTTGGTAAACAAATCTTACATTTTATTTCCATGACTGAATGCTGACTGCATTTGTAACATGCTATTTTAATTAATGCCTGAGTTATAGCAATTAAGAGTAAATGTTGTGGATAGTTCATTATTGCTTTTCATGCTGCATTCTAACTTCAAGTCTTGCCAAATACAGTATTATTAAACATTTCAAATTTTTTCCTTAAAGGCACATGCTACTTAACCAGACAAGTGTATCATTCAAGCTAATATTACACACAACTGTAGTACCAAGCTGTATACCAATCTGTCTTCAAAAATCATTTTTAATTTTAAACAGCCTCTTTGAAACAGCAGTGGGTTAACACTTCCTTTTCCCACTTAATGTGTTCTGCATAAGTGATGTGATTCGACAGAAGCAGGCCTGTTTGAAACTCAACATAGTTTTACTTTTCTTGCAGAATATATGGTGAGTGAGGCTCTGGCATGTTCTCAGTTGGGGTAGAAATCTAGACAAAATGATTGCATATCACCATAACACTAATGAGCTTGACCATCTCATATAACTGTTTATGTTATACCTTTTGATACATTTCTAGTTTGAATAATGGAGGATCTACAAGAGAGTCAATGACTTCTACTCACCTTCTACCCTCCTCACCTAGGACTTTCTTGGGAATTTCTGTATCCTGGAAAGAGGAGTTGGGAGGCTCAAGCCTCTGGCCAGTGGAAAAATTTCAAGAGCCCCTCACATGCTGGATTGGGTGGGTCCCTATTTTCCCTTTTTCATTTATCCAGTTCCCAAGTTTTAGCTGTCAGCTCTTTTTATTTATGATTGAGCTCACTCTGCTGGTTTCTCAAAGATAGAGGGAAATCCTGAATCAAGACTAAGAATTTTTCTTATGCCTCTTGTCCTGAAGCCAACACACAGCTCTCTGGACTTTTCTTAAAGTTACCACTGCCTGTAACAGGAAGAAATAGAGGGTGAATAGAGCTGAAAAAGAAGAAAATCACACAAATTGTTTGTGGTAGTCACTGCAAGAGACTGAAATGAGTTCCAACTCTGTCTTAGTGACAGCTCTCTTCTTCTCCCAGCTCTCAACCCTTTCCCTTGTGCAAAGGAAGGACAACACAGCATAGCACGGGGAACAAGTGGGTATTTTCGAAGGTTATAAATTATTCCCAGGAAGAAACAGAAACTACCTTAGCAAGTCAGCAGGGGAGACAGAGGGGAAATCCCAAAAGACCTCACCCAGGGAATAACAAAAGAGACTAGGGCAGCCATTCGAGTGTATGTAAATATGGGGACACATCAAGGCTGGTTTCTGATTACACACCCAAGTACCGGCAACACGAAAACAGACACGCAGTTTTCAAAAGGCACCTGTATTCATTCACACCATTTTAAGCCTAAGGGCCGTCTCATGGCCAATTGTTGCAAGCATTTCTTGTTTGATATTGCCACCTACAGACCGAAACACAGATGTTCACCTGAGCATAACAGCAGAACAGAAATCCACCAAGTGTCTCCATTTCAGCCATAACCTTCATGAAAAACAAGGTATAAAAACATATTTTCTGTGAATTTTGTTCAACTAATGTTTGCCTAACTTACCCAGAAATGCATGTGAATTATCAGAGATTATACTAGCAGTACACACATGAGAAAAACTACAAAGCTTGACATTTAAATTTTATTCTTTACGTGTAAACAATTCAGAAAATAGAAATTGAATACTATGGTATGAAGACTGCTAGGAATTTATCATCATTTCAAGGGAACAGATTAGAAGATATAGGCACAACCCCAAACGCACTCAGCCACCTTATCTTGGACAAAAGGGCCAAATATGTTTGGCCCAAAAAGAAAGCCTCTTTAACAAATGGCGCTGGAAAAACTGGCTTTCTCCATGGCAAAGATCAACAGTAGAACCATGTTTATCCCCATGCACTAAGGTCTAATATAAATATTAAAACAGAAACACTAAATCTACTGGAAGAGAAAGTACATAGAAATCTTGAAGACATAAATATAGGCAGAGACTTCATGAACAAAACCAAGATTACATGCAAAATATCACAAAAAATCAACAACTTGTAACTCTTATTAAAAAGCTTTACACAACAAAAAAATCACCAACATATTGAAAAAGCAACCCACAGAATGGAAAAAAATTAGCCAGTTGTCTCTCAGACAAAGAACTTCTATCTAGAACATATGAAGATTTTTTAAAAAAATAAGACTACCCAAATTCAATGCCCCAATCCTAAAAATGAGCATCTGAGATGAATATGCACTTCTGAGATGAAGAAATACAAATGACAAATAAATATATGAAAAAATGTTTAACACCAAAAATGTTTAACACCACCAGTCATTTGAGAGATGCAAATGATAATTGCTGGTGGGATGTAGGGAAAAAGGAATCCTGCTCTCTTGTTGGCGCGAGTGTAGACTTGTGCAACTACTGTGGAAATCAGTGTGAATATTCCTTTAAAAATGAAGATTAAAGTCCCATTTGACCCAACTATTCCCCTTCTGGGTATCTTCCCAGAATTAAAAACATAGCACAGGATATATGTGCACCCATGTTTATAGCAGCACAATTTGCAATAGCTGGATCTTGGAACCAACCCAAATGCCATTAACTGAGGAGTGGATAAAAAAAAAAAGATGTGGGATCTTTATACAATGAAACACTACTCAGCCATAAAGAAGGATACACTTGAGATTTTTATAAGTAAATGAATACAACTAGAGACCATACTCATAAGTGAAATAAACCAAGTTTGCATGTGTAAACATCATATACTCTCTCTAGTGTAATAAACTGAAAGAGTAGATAAGATCCAAAAGGTGCAATAGATATTGTAAAATGGGAAGAAACTGTTCAAAAGGGAATAGGAACTAGGATGGAGGAAATGGGAAAGGACTGAATAGAAAAAGGAAACACCTAAGAAATATTTATACAGCTAGTTTATCTTAACTCATTCATTG